ACCTCATGACTAGTTAGAAGTTGATCTCTGAGATGATCAAAATCGGGATGTAGGGCACGAAGGATCAACACCATGTAAAATTTGTCTAGTTTCTTTTTGATATCCTCTAATGGATCTACTTCCAAAAACATCTTAAGTTCTTCGACAGCAGATTGGGCTTCAGCCATGAAGGACACCATATCATGGTCTGCCATTTTAAGAGATGAAAGCTTGTTCGTAGTGTCAGAGACATTGAATATCGTTGGCATAAATGCTTTGGGCTTTCTTCCAAAAGGAGTGACAAGTTTTGAAAGCCCTCAAAGATACAAGAAGTTTGGGTTCCACTGATTGCCATAACAAGGCACACAACTGGAAATCTGCTTGTTTCCATTGTTCATCTTTTTTAGTATTCACATGGCTTCCATCTTGCTCAAGGTGGTCATAATGCCCTTGGCCAAGGAACCACATTTCAACGGCAGCAGACCATGATAGATAATTTTTTCCATTTAGCTTCTTGGAGGTAATTGATGGACTTCCAGAGAATGAAAGAGTACTGCCAGACGCCATTTCTGAAGAAGACGAATAATACTAGCGAGGAACAAGAAAACCCTAAGGGTTTAGACGAAGGAAACTGTGAGTGATGGACAACGGTGGCCGGCAACGGTGGCGGTGGTCGGACGGTGGCCGACGACGGACGACGATGGCCGGCGACGGACGACTGTGGCCGGCGATGGACGACAGTGGCCGACGGTGGACGGTGGCGGGCGACGAAGAACTGTGGCGCCGGACAGATATATATTACGAGACAGAAACCAGAGTGGGATCGACCCGCTCTGATACCAACTTAAGATTGAAACTGTAAAATAATTCTAGATGGCTTAATTGATCCCTTTCACAATCTTCTATTTATATACACAAGTACATGATAAATAGGGTAACCCTAGACATAATATAATCATGATAAATAGGGTAATCCTAGACACAATATAATCATAATAAATAGGGTAACCCTTGACACACTATAATGATGATAAAATAGGATAAATATCCTAATAGATTGAATACAGTTTTCAACATGCCACATATTGCTAGACTTAGGCAATTTGGCCATTACGAAATTGTTATTAACAACTGAACTAGAAGTAGTTGCTGTAACGAGTTGAGGAATCTTTGACATAGCTTGAGATGAACAATCTTGAAGCTTGAGATAAAGAAGAAGGCGTCGGTTCCAACAATGAATCAAAGAAGTTGCCTGAGGTTTAATAGTACAATAGTGAGGAAAAATACTCAAATTATCACGGGCAGATTTTCTGACACTTAATTAGTTTTTGGTAATTGAAGGTACATGCATCAAATTGTGTAAGTAAAGAGAGAAGTTAGGATTAGTAGTGGTTTTGAAACATGAAGAACCAGAACCTTGAACTTTCAGACCTTCACCTTTACCAATATAAATCCGGGCCCTCAAAGTCGCAAAACTGTTGTATGTTTTGTGGTTCTCCTGTCATGGAATGAGGCTCCTGAATCAGGTATCCAGTTGGAGTTACACCTATGAGTTGGCTATGATGGCACTTGGGACAACTTGGTTAGTACTAGGCTGATGTTGATTTCTTGTAGTAGTGGGATTACCCGAGGTGTTTGATTTAGAAGTGAGCCGAGACTGATTAGTAAAGTACATCAGCGGTTGATTCATAATAGGATCATATAGAAGAAGATATTCATTAGGTTGATAGGATGAATTTACACAGTAGTAACAAATATTAGTAGTGTGACCATATTTGAAGCAAATCTGGGATTGGAAGTTAGCAAATCCGACCACCATGGCCACAAACACTGTTCAGAAAAAGGTGGTTGACTGAAACTTCAACGAGCATCATTGCTGTCATACTGCGAGATTGAAGAGTTAGGGTTCACATATAATTGTCAATAATTTACCAAAGGAGGGTATGTTTTCTTCTGAAATCTGTTACTTCTAGATTCATGGGCAAGAAGAAAAGCTTCAACTTCCATTGTTGGAGGTATTTCAAATTTACTTTTAATGACAGAAATTACTGGAGCAAGTTACTGTGGGAGACCTTTAGGAATAGCTTCAACATATTCATCCACGGAACTTCCAATTCCAGCAAGTTCAGCAATGGATTTATTTTTTCCCAATAACTCACGCATAGTTTTGTTGTCAAGAGAGATGGCAGGTAGATCGTGTGAATGCCTTGATTTGGTGAAGAAGTGGTCATAAATTTGTTCCCACATCTTATACAAGTGGACAGATCCAGGGACATGAGACAAGATTGACTTTGAAAGCGTAGACTCTAAGTAAGCAAGTTTTGATCTTGGACTTCCCATTCTTCATAAGTTGGGTTTATTTCTCCAAAAGCATGGTCATCATTTGAAAGAAAGTGAGGAGGAACCACTGGGTTTACAACAAATCGATGAAAGTCTATTAGACTTTATGACAGTTTCAACTTCTTGTTTCCACTAAAAATATTTGGAATCATCAAGTTTTTCAGTTATCGAATTATGAAAATGTTGGGAGACAGAAGGGAAGGAATTGCGGAACAATTCCTAGCTCACGATACCATATCGGAGTTTTAGGTATGAAAAAAAAATTATATTAACAGAAAACCAATGGATTATTGTTGCACTGAATGAGAAAAAGATACAAGCTGAACATATATGGGCTCAAGAAGAGAGTGACAAACTAATCATAGCAGAAAAACTGATAATTAACTGTCATCCAGTAGAATAACTGCATCTTTACATTTATATATGTAATATGTTTGAATCACTGAGATAGGTCATGTTTCAATTTTGATAGAGATTCTGATTCAACTCCATCCTTGTCTCTCTCTTTCTTCACCCATTTGTTGTGCTTGTGGTCATGATATAGTTTTATATGTCTGCGAATACAACAGGTCAGGAGTGTTCCTCTTCATTTGGCATTTTTTATGGAGGAAAAGGGGTGTGTAAAAGCTTCATCATTCTTATATCTATGTAATATTTTTTGTTCAAATACTTTCCAAGAGAATAGCCCTCTATTGTGATGAGTTGCATGAACCATTTCGTAGTTAGATTTACTGTTAGCTGGATTATATAGGGTGGATCTGCCTAAAGTAGGGAAAAATGTCCTGTACTTTTGGACAATTTGTTTAGGTGCAGTTACTCTATTGCAGTTTTCAAATTGTTAGGTGCAGTATATGTTATATAATAAGATAAGTGATACCAATTCAGGATGGCTTTCACAGTTGTGACTATCTAGTCCATTGACTATGAATACATGCTATTGTTATTTTGTGTTATTTGGTATCATTTGGTGTGGGATTTCCTACCATTCACGTAGTGTGTATACAAGAACTTTATGTTTTGGATTCAATTCAAACTCTAAAAGTGGGCAAATTCAGCCCCATTACATTTTCTGTATGTTTGACTCTGATGTAGTTCATTTTGGGTGTGGCTCTCTGATGTGTTCATGCTAAAAAAATGTATATGTATTTTTAAAGGTTAGGAAATGCGTATTAAATCTTGCTGTATTTGTTGCAATACTGTATTGCATGACCATGTCCTTGAACTTCTTTTTCAGAAAAGTGATGCTACGAGTGGATGCACGGCAAGGAGCTCCAAAGGATGGAAATTCTCCCCTTGAACTTTTTGAGGTAATAATTTCTATAGGTTTTTGGCAACCGTAAACCCGGAACATCAAGCAGAGAAATAGAATCCATTCTTATCCAAATTTGTGTTTTTTCTTGCTATTTCTTTGGTGGTCTCATTGGTTAAAATAGAAGCCGTGTGTCATACTTGTCTAAAGTAGATCTGAAGATAATATAATACTGCCTAGTCAGTATCAAAATGTTTTTGCACTCTGGTCGGGCATTAGTATGAGAAGGAATTTTTAATATGGTGCATTAGTGGCCTGGTTATCTCATATCAATGGAGGTCTTTCTATAAACATGCCCGTGATGTACCTTTCTTTGAATAAACTATAGCAATGTGAACTTCATATTGAACAGCAATTTCAGTGAGAGTAATGTAAATATCAAGGACCAAACATTTTTTGATATGCATTGTGTTTTAAGAATCTGAAACTAAACTTGCTATTACTGTTGAAAGGTTTGCTTGGAATGTCTGAATTGGTTCAGTTCGTTTCTTACTTGAACTTACTTTTCAATATAGGTGGAGATTTATCCCCTTAAGATTCATTTAACAGAGACAATGTACAGAATGATGTGGGAGTATTTCTTCCCAGAAGAAGAACAAGATTCACAACGTCGACAGGTTAGTTTAGGATACTAATTTCAAATAATATATCTCCGAAAACCAAGGCTAAGTTAGCAGGAAAACTGTAGAGTTAAAATAGTAGTTATTTTTACAGGAGGTTTGGAAGGTTTCAACCACTGCTGGTGCAAGGCGTGTAAAGAAAGGTTCACTTCTTGAAGCTTCTGCTTCAAGCAGTCATTCAACAAAAGAGTATGAGGCCCCATCCAAGTCTGGCATATCTGCAATGCTATTTCCCACAAGTCAACCTTCAGTCCATGTTGACTCAGCTCAAGTGAGTATTTGATTGATGGTCTAAGACATGGTTCTCAGGTCAGATTATTAATAATATCTGCAGATGCTAACATTGGTCTCCAGTGATGGAGAGCTAAGGAAGAAAATAGTTTATTATTTTCCTGTGTTCCCAATTTCTTTATTTCAGATGATATATTTTTCTCAAGGAATTTATGAAACCTGCTTGTAGGCATCAAAAACACAAAATGCCAAAGCAAACTCTGGTACTGGTAATGGTACTGGAACTGGTTCAACCCCCGAGTTGAGAAGGACATCATCTTTTGACAGAACTTGGGAAGAGACTGTGGCAGAATCTGTAGCTAATGAGCTTGTGTTACAAAGCTTCTCTTCCTCAAAAAATGGCCAATATGGTTCTACCAAGCAACAAGATGAAGCAGCTAAGAATAAATCAAAAGATTCCAAAGGTGTGAAAGGTGGTCGTTCATCTCATGAAGAAAAAAAGGTGGCCAAGTCTCATGAAGAGAAGAGATCTAGGCCACGAAAGATGATGGAGTTTCACAACATAAAAATTAGCCAGGTTGATCATTTTGGCCTACTTTGTTAAATTGTTGTCTATCATTACTTCTGGTGGAGAAATTCAAATTGAAGCTAAATGTCATCGATTATTTCTTGCAGGTTGAGTTATTGGTTACATATGAAGGGCAGCGATTTGTTGTAAATGATCTTAAATTACTGATGGATCAATTTCATCGAACTGAGTTTACTGGAACTTGGCGAAGACTCTTCTCACGAGTTAAGAAACACATCATCTGGGGAGTCCTAAAGTCTGTAACTGGAATGCAGGTAATGAATGACTCAGTTTCCTCTATCCTTTCATTTCGTTGATACTCATGTACAACCTCGTTCTTTTCCTTTTCATTCCCGTATGAAGTTTTTACCAACCACTTCAAATTTATGTGGTTGCAGTAACTTAACAGAATGGAGGCCTATTTTTTGGCAACTTTAGCTGTTCTACTAAATCTTTTCAATATGTTTCTTTTAAATGATTATGTAGGGTAGGAAATTTAAAGACAAAGGCCAGAGTCAACATACTGGTGCTGGTGTTCCTGAAATTGATCTTAACTTTAGTGACAATGAAGGGCAGACAGGAAAATCTGATCAATATCCACCATCGTGGCCTAAGCGTCCAAGTGATGGTGCAGGTGATGGATTTGTAACATCCATTAGAGGATTGTTCAATACTCAACGCCGCAAGGCAAAGGCATTTGTGCTCAGAACTATGAGGGGTGAAGCAGATAATGATTTTCAAGGTGATTGGAGCGAAAGTGATGTGGATTTCTCGCCTTTTGCTCGGCAGCTCACGATCACGAGAGCCAAGGAACTTATTAGGAGGCACACTAAGAAGTTCCGTTCGAGAGGACAAAAAGGTTTGTTTGTCGCTTTTATGCTGTTAATTTTATTGTTTTTGTGTACTTAATATTGATTTGTTTCATGGTTGTTTTTTGGATTTCGTTTAGAAGAATATATAATTTTGAAAGAAAGGGGAGAAAGTATTAGGTATGAACAAAAACTTAATAAGAAATCCCACTCCAAAGAGAAAAAGAAAAAGAAAACAAACTAAAATGGATCAAGGAAAGGATGCAATAAAGTGGTATGTCTACATATAAGTAATATAAATTCTCTGGACAAAACTATCATTAAAGCACCAAAGAAAAGATATAAGCACAACCCAATCCCAAAACTAGCATAATTGAAAGACATTTGAATGTATTGGCACTCTCCAAGTAAGTTTGCTTTACAATTTAAAGAATAGCCATGAACATAATTTTGTACTCTGGTCAAGATCATTTTTTAATTGATTTTTTTCTTATTTGAAGTCAACCGCTAAACAATACAAGGCCTACGCCCAAAACCCAAACAGATGACAGTCTTCCAAATTTTTTTGCACAAGCGAGGAGAAACTGCTCCACTATGAACGAAACGAAAATACCATGTGTTATCAAGAATCCCTTCACATAATAACCATTTAAATTAGATGACTTACAGTGTAAAATAGATGGGCTACTGTTGCTGAACTTGGCCTGCCCATAACACCTTGGAAGAAAGAAATCCGTGGTCTAAAAATCCATCTGTAATAATTTTGTTAATTATAGAGTACAGGTATCCAAACAGAGTACTTGCTTTGTAGTGAGGTTTAATTTTTCCAAATACAGTTTGTTGAGGAGGAACTGTGATGATTAGGAAATTGAGTGGGTTCTGAATAGGACTTAAGTATGCTAAAAAATTGAAGGTCCTAATTCTCCTTTCAACAAAACTTAGGTGCACTGCATGGGAAGCTTGCTAAACCTGTGATGCCTCTCTGCTGTGATCCTAATGTGCAAAGTTTAGACTCCTCTTTTTTATTCTTTTTCCTCCTCTCTCTGGATCAATTCCTATCCTTTAGGTTGTTTGCTTCATTTAAGTAAAAGCATAATGGGTTCTTCTAACTTCATTCATTTCTCTATTACTGTTGGATTGCTCATCATTGCTAACTAATGGTAGTCGCTCTCGTGATAATTTTCGTATGAATAATCAGAATGAAAAATAATATGAATTACACTTGTATGTATTCTAAATTACTTTCCTCCCCCTATATTGGATTGATATTTGTCTTCAACAAAATTATTCTTACTAAAGGAGTTAGAATGTAGTTATGAATCCGAAAGTATTTAGTGGAGCTACTGAAAATAGGCAACAAAAATAATGAATTGTTTTGGTTTTCTAAAATTACAAGTATTTTGATAAAACTAAAATATTAGATAGATAGAAGGAATACTTTAATTGATTGAATACCGTTACTTTCAAGATTATTCTGGCCATTGGAACCCAACATTTACAACAAACTAAAATTATCTTAAAAGACTTGGGAAGGCTTGAAAATTAGCTATTCAAAGCTGTGTTGTGTATTTTGACTTCCTGCTCTTTTTTATCTGCTTATCGACTGCATGTCACTTTGATTACTTGAGGAATGAAGTTTGCATCACTTGCAGGTTCATCTTCACAACAAAGAGAATCACTACCATCGTCGCCACGAGAGACAACTCCATTTGACAGTGATTCTTCAAGTGGATCCTCACCCTACGAAGATTTTCATGAATAGAAATGTTGTCATCTAAAGGATTTCTTACTTGTCTGCTGAGCACGACGCTTAATTCTTAAAGTACTCACTATACAAGAGCGTGAGAGAGGATATATCTATTAAGAAGAAGTTGGGTTGAAAGCTAGACATCTTGTCCAAGGGCGATTGGAATGGAAAGTGAACTTTGGACTCGATATACTGTTGTGTATTTTCTGTGGCAAACCCAAGTCATCGGTGAAAAAGAGCCTCGCTTTCATCTTCTATGCAACATCAATCGCACATCTAACATTTCTATTCGTGTCCACAACTTCAGTGACCGGTGAGGACCCTTTTCTTCATCTCTTGCGTTGTTTTCGGGTTGTATATTCCTGTAGCTTCTGTTCAATGTGCAATTTTTGGCTTCTTAATTTATTAGCAAATAGGAGCTTTAGAGGTTGACATCATTATGTACATACATTTGATTATATTTTGAAAAATAGAATAAAAGCAATATCTTCCTTTACACATTTTAGAATTCAAAGGATTAAGGCCTCTGTAGAAAGTACCGAGCAGCAGGATGATATCAAACCGATACAAAGAAGGCATTACCTTTCTGCTATCTTAATGCTTTTGGTCACGTTCTATTTGTTTCTAAATGTAAAACAATTTCTGAAAAACTCAGTTCAAATGAGGGATCTTATAAGATGCAAAAGCAACATCCTGAGATGCATTATATGTTATTTTCTCAAAAAATAATTGTGAATAAAGTATAAAATTTTAATATAGACTTTTTATTTCTAAAATTCGCTGAAATTACAATTTACAACTCAACGGAAACCATGTACCGCAAGTTGCATTCCTTGAATTAGATGAACTTGAAGAACACAAGGAGGAGCCACGGCGTTGTCGCTTCACCCAAACGCCGCCATAGCTACCGTCTTTATAAACAACGAAAAAGAAAAATGGACAAAGAAGCGTCGATTTCAATCTTGATTTTGTTGGAGATTATAGAATAAAAGTCAATTCACCGTAAAGAAAAGGTTGCTCTTCCGATTGTGACTTGCAAATTGTGACCTTTGAAAAACTTTGTTTTGATTTCTTTTAAAATTTTGTTTTATGTTTGAAAATATGCTGCAGACAGAAAAGTGGGAATTTAACAGAAGAATTTCGAAACGCCATGAAATATGAATAAACGCAATATATCAACCAAAAAGCTTAAATATCTCGATAAAAAAAGAAAATAAGAAATCATAAATAAAGAAGTCATAAATATCGTTCACTTTCTATATAAAATGTTTTATAACAATATTAAATATTAGAAAAAAAATAAAACTGTTTTAAATATTTCCTTTGTTATCTAGTAAATGTTATCTTAAGTATTCTATGCACTAACTAAAAAAATAACTAGTAAATAGATAAAAAAAAACCATTTTACAAAATTAAATGTAACATTGTTAATTTATTTATAGTATTTTTGTCAAGTATAAATATTATTAGGGATACAAATGGAAAAAATAATTAATATACATTAAAAGTGACCTTTATTTTGAAATCTGTGTTCTCTTATTACAAAAGACAGAGATAATGGGAGGAAGAGAGTAATAGTTTTGTAAAAGTAGTTAAATATACTAGTTCTCCTGTAACACCTATAAGCCCTATAAATTCAGTTTCGGAACTTAACACATACTGTGGCAACAATTAGTTTTAAATAACTTAAGCAAGGGTTAATTGATTTGAAATTCTAACAACTTTATTTTAACATAACTATACATGGTATATATTATTAGATACGCAGATGACAGCAGTGGCAATATTGATAACATGTGTCTGGAAGAACATTGAGAAGACGATGATTAATATTTATTTTATATGTATATGTACATCTGGAACAAGTCTATCTGTGCTAATTATAACATTCAAATGGTCTCACCAAGAGTCGACATCACAAACCTAAACTTGCCTGAAGGTCCTAATTAGCACACCGCTGCGTTGACGTTCAAATACCCATTCTTGAGTGGCAGACCATATCACCGAAATTTCATCTCTAAAATCAGGGTTGCAGAGCTTTGATCTCAATGAAATTATTATAGTCATGAGCATGTAGAAAGCAATTTTATTAACACAGGCCTGACTAATGAATATTTTATTATATAAACACTGAAGGAAAATCACATTATAACATATACACAAACAATGTTTGGCACCTATACCAGCATCAATGTCACAGACTACCCAATGTTAGGCCGGAATAGCAGAGCTTCTTGACATTTGCTAATCCGTAATCATTTCAGTTTCCATTTCCGAGGGCTACAATTAGTCATAACCCCGAACTTCCTAATTATTTCTGGTATGTATCACTGCTTCTAGATCTCATCAACAATATACTACAGAGGGACCATTATATAAAACCCCCCAACGTAATGAATCACTTAGTACCTTCTAATCAAAGTTTCCTGGAATGTCAATGTCTGTATCTGAAGGATTAGAAAGTTCAACCAGAGGTTCCTGAAGATCAAAATGAACCTCATAAGAAGTTGCTACTGAAATGCATGTTATGAGTAATATAAAAAACTCGTGTATTTACAAATGTATAACTGGCTCCATTTTATAACTTTCATTGGTAAAGTGGGGCTCCATTTGAACTCAGATGAAGTCGCCCTTACAATTGTGTAGGGTTGTGAATACCTGTTCAGTGTCATTCCTTGAAGAATGAACAAGTCCTACTAATGGCGGAGCATTCGTAAAGTGGTCTGCAGTTTCAGGCAATTCCTGAGCAAGAAATCACCCCAATACCCATTAAGACATGCATCATAGGAATTCATTATATGCTTTCATTTTCTCAATACCTATATATATGTGTGTGTAATATAGAGAGATATTTAAAACTACCTCATCACTAGGGTTTACTGCATGACCACTAGAGCCATCACCTGTGTTGGACTTGGACGGATCTTCAGAACTACCCTGCATACCCCATGAAAAGTTTCATAAAAAGGAAAAAAAATGTGTACTGTCGAAAATGAATTTGCAATATGTAAAAGATTCTACTTGCTCATCATGGATGCCGGACAATTCTCTTTCAATAACAGAAGTAGGCTTGACATCAATAGGAATATCCTGAAAATTCCACGCACGTTGATGAGTAAACCACCAATGTACATATAGTAGAACTGCAATGCAACTGAAAGGAAGATATATGCACCGCAAAGACTTTCAGGTAAGGCTGTTGAAACGAATTACTGTCGTAAAACCAATCAAAACAACCTAATTCAAACTAATAAGTTGGTTTTTCACCCTTATTGGGGATTAGGTTGTTTTGAAACTATTGAAAAACAAAATGGATCTGCTTCTGGTTAGAAATAATTTTAACCCAAATATTCATATTCAGCTATACAGTGTTGAGTAATAAATCTTTTACAAAAAAAGCAAGGTCGCTTTTGGAAATTTTACAAATTTGAAATGTTTTGAATTTGAATTGTTGTACATTAAATTTTATATTCTTCAAATATTTTGTTCAGATAAATCACTTTAAATGTATTAAACTTAAATTTTTAATTTGGATAGGTAACTTAATTTCTAGTATGTGTAGAAAAATTAAAAATATTTAAATAACTGAAATTTCAGTATAAAATATTAACTAATTTTAAACATTTAATGACAAAAGCTAATATGTAATGGTATTTATTAATTAAAAATAAAAATATGACACTTTTGAAATAGATAAAAAAGAAGAGAGAAGGGAGAGGAGAGAAGATAGAGTGAAGAGAGGACAAATGAGAGAGATCGGAGAAAGGAAAAAGAGAGAAAAAGAAAGAGAATCAATGGAGAGCGGAGGAAAGAACGTAGAAGAGAGGGGACAGAAACAGAGGAGATAAGCGAATGAAAATACATAGATGTGAGATAAAAGACAAGTGTAACATTTCCAATTCTAACTATTTTAATAGAATTTAAATTCTATAATTTTTAAATAATTAAAATTAAAATAATTCCACATTTTAAAAATGTTCTTCAAAAAATTATCAGGCAAACAACATATTTCACTCAGCATTTTAAATTCTTTAAAATAATTACTAACTCCATCAAGATAAGGGAATTTATTATCATGTCAACTGTTTACACTATTGATTGGAATCAGAAATCTTTAACTGGTAAGTTTCATGAAGATACCTTATCCAATGGGGTTTTGACCGGGTGATCTTTGACTTTGTTACTAAGGGAGTGTGACTGAATCGTAATTTAGAGCATCTGTAACTTGACTAATGACTAAGATATTACGTTATCCTCCACCTACTTGTACCTTTTTTTTTTATCTCTAGTGAATTTAATTTTCCCATCACAAAATATTTACCAAGAAAAAACTTCGATATTTCACACCCAATAACAGATCCACGAGTGAAACATTTCATTTGGAACTGATAATTAAAAATATAAGTAAAATCGATCTCCTTTGCATTTACAATCAGAGAATAAATTGGAAGAAAATTAAGCTGTCTTACATACCAGATCACTTTGCTCAACAACAGAAAGATTTCTTCCTCCCTTGCTGAGATCTCTGAGTGTGCCCTGTCAGAGTTGAGAAGTGGATTCAGGGAAATGAAGATATTTGTAAAGTGCAAACAGTTAATGAAATTGATGATGCAGTTCATGAGAAGGAACAAAAGAGAATGCAAGGAAAGAGAAAAAAATACATATTCTGTCCAGCGGATGTCATGTGGTCAGAAACATGCCACTGAGGCAAAAGGCTATATTGACCATAAAGCTCCGGCTAGTTCTTATACCATTGGGACCGTAGTCCACAACATGAACAATAAAATGGTGCTATAGAAATCCAGAACAGTTTCCATATCATTATGGACAAAAATATTATAATCAGATTTTGATAATTCTACTTTAAACTTATATGGCCATTCTGAACACAAGAAGTTTGACATAACACGATAGTATCATTTCACCCATGTAGCTAGCTGACTTCATTTAGAGGAAAGCAATTTTGTCGTTGTACTTAAAATAAAGTACAGATGTTCAAGTTCACACCAAGCATTTGATCACAACCAAACTTAACCTTGTTTGCCCACATAAGGCCGCATGCATTACATAAAGTCCTTGGTCCAGCTGGCCCCCGACGCATTGCAGGAGTATTATTTTCAGTGACACCACAATGGTGACATCTGCGTCTAGAAGACATGAAAAAGCAAGGAGCGTGAATAATTAATGTTTACTAAAATGGAATAAAAATACACACGCAAAGAACCACAACACTGATAAAATAATATATATATATATATATATATATATATATATATATATATATGTGTGTGTGTGTGTGTGTGTAGGAAACTCAAGCTTTAAAACTCACACAGATTCAGAATGAGAAGTGCCATCTTGAGCAGAACTCCGGGCAGAATCCCAGTTAGATGAACCTGGGCTTTCTTTCAAGGATGCAAACTGCCCATTCTTCCTATGCATCCTAACAAGAGAGCAAAAGACAACAAAAACAGAACACAAAAAAATTATAAATATAAAAGAACACATTAAACTTCAGAAACAACCTGATATTATTATCACAACCAAGTCAATTTTCATTGGTAAAAAGGTCATCTCATAATTTAGGTGAAATGGGTGCAATTGAAATTTTATTTACCTCTGTGCCACCTCTTTTCTCACAGTATACCTAATTTTCTTGTCAAAACATCTTTCCTTTCGTTTCTCGCGGAATCTGACCAAGGATGCTATTCTTCGTGAAAGGTTCGAAAGCTTCGGAGTATCACCCATACCCTAGAGAATTTAGTAAAGTACTCAAATGAAAGCCTAAAATGATATCAAGCTGATCTCGTTAAGTAGATGTATATACATTACCCTGTTACTTTGATCAAATGGTAGTTCAACAGCAGGCACACCTGCGTGCACATCACGTCCTCCCAAAAGCAGCAAGACGGCTTGAACCTGCAATGTAAAATTTGGTTACCAAGCATTTCTCTTAGCCATTCTTTCGAAGAGTTGAACAGTACATTGGTTTAATTTAATTTAAATGCCGGTTTCGATCTCCCATCAATTGTTTGAAATGATCAGAAATTTGAACCAGTCTACAATAGTTAGCTTAACAATTACTATCAATTGTTTGATTAGCTCTAATATCAATTGACAAGCACCTATTTGGAGAATTCATCCTCAAAATCTAACAACTAAGAAGTGAGAACTAAATACTAAATTTTCCACCATATGAAACTTATGCACCCCATATACATTACTCAAGTTGCTATCATTAGTTGACTCGGAATACGGACACTACTTAGGCTTAAGACTCAAGAGGACTATTAGAAGTGGACTTTAAACCTAACTCAATCCTACAAAACCGGCTTGTTAGGTGAAGTTTGCACCTTACTTATATATTATAATTTGGTCTTATCTCTAGTCGATGTGGGACTTCCAACACACCCCCTTCACTCCGAGGTATAGACATCTCGTGCGTGATTGTAGAAATTGGGTGGTCCGATAACGACCCGATAACGGGTGGAATAGAAAAATAGAATGCCCATTTAGAACTCGCTAGGATAGGCTCTAAACCATGACTCTGATACCATATTAGAAGTGGACTTTAAACCTAACTCAACCCTACAAAACCGGCTTGTTAGGTGAGGTTTGCACCTCACTTATATATTATAATTTGGCCTTATCTCTAGTCGATGTTGGACTTCCAACAAGAACTATGAATAAAATATATTCTTTTATTGGTTAAAATTCATTTGAGACTCACTAAACACTTCACCGAACTCTAACTGGACACGCATCATTTAGTGAGATAAATGACCTCATCCCATAATATTTTAGAAGGGGGTTTAATTTATTTTATAAGGCCTCTGTGATATTATCTTAAAATTTCAAATCCTTAAAAGTATCCGAGATAGGAACTCAATTTATTTTGGTAATTACAGTTTATAACTCATTACATTCTACTTAAGAAAAATTGCAGTACTATATCGTTTGGCTGATGCAATTAAGTCTAGGTACAATGCAATACCCAAAATGGTGAAGCCTAAGCTAGAGGCTAAATTTATACCGTTCCCAATACTAAGCTTAAGCCTTTCCAAACTGCTTATTCTTCAATAGATTAATACTAACAGATTGTAAACAATCCAACTCTGCAGCACATTTCTAATTCACCCATGCTTTATAAATCTTTCTTTAATCATGACAAAAACCAAGACATAGCCCACACATCCTGCACCCCTTACAGCAAAATACATACCATTAATTACATAAAATTATACCGTTGATGGAATTTTACTTGATTCTGTGTCTACGGTTTCATTATCTCTGCTTTGAAAGAAATTCTATAGGAATATTGCCAATCCGAAAACCACTGAGCATGTAATTTTATTTAACCTTTGTGTTATTTACTTTTTCTTTACAATCCTAACATTTACCAAAACTCCCCGCCCCTCAATTTGTTAAATTTACCAAAAAACCTACATGACCCAAACCAATCGCAATGAATTGTGTCAATAAAACGACGAACCATAGCATAATAAAAAAAAAGCTTTGAAGCTTGAGAACATTCCAAGAAATTAATATATATATATATATATATATATATATATATATATGTATATATG